AACAAAAAAAAAAAAAAAAAAAAGAATATAGATGAAGAAATTTCAAGTATATTGAATAAAATAAATAAAGAAGAAAAAAAAGGACAAGAAGAAAAAAAAGAAAAAGAAAAAGAAAAAGATAAAAAAAAAGAAGAATTGTCAGATATATATAATGAACGAAATAATTTGCATTTATTTGCTTGCACTCATGAAAAGTATGAATATTGTCTGAAATTGGAGAAAAATAATTTTGATGTTAATATAGAATTAAAAAGAATATTTGGTAAAGATTTTGTTAAAGATAAAAAATATATTCAAAAAAGCAAAATCAAATATTTGAAAAATTGGTTAGTTCAAGATTATACAACGAAAACTATTCAACCACCATTAACAATGGTTTTTAATAATAATGAATTTAAAATAGAAAAATCAAAGTTATACTTAGAAGCAGATAACTTATTTTATATGCTTCTAGATAGTCACGATATACAATCAATGAATGATTTATTAAAAAAATATCCTTTTCATATTGAAACATTATTAGTTTTATCAGAATATTATAATGAAGCAAGTAATTATGAAATTGCAAATAAATTCATAAAAATGTCCTTACTTTTACTACAAAATATTTTTCATATAAATTTTCATCCGAATTTCTTAAATAATAATACTAAGATATTTGTAAATCCATTTTTGTATGATAATAAAGCTTTATATAAATCACTATACATTCATATGTTATCTCTTGAAAATGATGCTTGTACGATTCTCTCATCAGATATATCTAAACTATTATGTAAAATAGATTTGCATAATGATTTATGTAGTATAATTTTAAGAATTGATAATATAATTTTGAAATGTAATTTATTTGAATTTTTAGTTTTTTTTTCATTTAATTTTGTTATTCAAAACATTGAATGTGTTATACCGTCAAATAGACTAAAAGAAATCATGGAAGAATTTTTAAACGAGAAGCATTCAGATAAAAAAAATAATAATAAAACGGATTTAAACATAAGTCAAAATAATAATAATAATAATGATATATATTTAAATGATAAAAAATCTAATCAATACCATTTAGAAAAAGCTAGTAAGTCTGAAACAATAACAAATATGGTATATAAAGTTGATGAAAATAATGAAGTTAATAAGAAAAATATGAATGATAAAATATTACAAGAAGAAACCACAAGTAAATACAATGAAAACAACTATAACGAAAATAATATTGAAAATGCAGAATATTTAAAATATAAAGAAAAAATAAATGATGATAACATTGAAAAGGTTAATTATTATCAAAAGAGGGCATTATTTCACAATTTTGAAATTCGACTTCATCTCATTCTACCAAATTTTTCCTTTTCAATACCATTATGTCTTTATTTAAAAAATAATACTGTAGTTGATTATAATGAAATAAAACAAATTAGTAAAGATGATATAAAAGATTCATTTTCTTATGAAGAATGCAAATTTCTGATATCTCACTTTAATATAAATTTTAATTGTTATAATTTACAAAGTTCACACAATAATATTGAAAGTAAAAGTTATTCTTTATCTTTTTCTGCCCATTTATTTTTAATAAGGGCTTTGCTTTGTTACCCTAATTTTTTGCATATATTTTTAAATTATAATAATTTCAAAACAACTAAAGTAGTGAAGCAAACAATTTATGAATGTTCATTTAAAGATATATTATCAAATCCTCCCTTTTCAAATAGTACATTATTTAATGAAGAAGATGATGCAACTATACAAAAGATAATATCTTGTTATTTAGAAAAAAATAATATTTATTATAAATCAGAAAAAATAATTACGTGGTTCCATGTGTGCAGCAGTTTCATACATGAATTATATAAAAATAGAGCGAGTATTCATAAATTTTACAAAAAAAGAAAAAAAAAAAACTAAGGAATTTTATTTTATTTTTTTTATGTTTAATAAATTTTTTTAAATATAAAATCATTATTATTTATTTAAAATGTTTTCTTACATTATTATATTCTATTTTATTTTTTTTTATTATATTATATTTTTTTTTTTTTTTTTTTTTTTTTTTTTTAGTATCTGAAGAAATTGAAAAAGTAAGAATTGAATGGAGCAAAAAGGTTGCCCTTTTTGATATAAATAAATATAAGAATGTTAGAGTTGGAGAATTTAAGTCAACTAATTATTTATTACCTGATTTTATAATGGAAAAAAATAGAACATATTCAACAAATATATCTCATGTAGAATCAAATTATTATGTTTCTTTAAATAGTAATTTATTAATTGCATTTTTCCAGAGCTTATTGCCTTGGTATCAAGTAGATTATTATGGTTATCTAAATAAATAAAATATAAAAAATAAAAATGAAACAATTTTATTATATGTTTTATTGTTTATATACATATGTAATGCATAATTCCATGACATTTTTTTATGTGAATTTGAGTCACCTTTTTTTTTCCTTTTCTTTATTATCAATTTTAAAATTAATGAAGTTTAATTTTTTTTTTTTTATAAAAAATGATTAAAGGACAATGTTTTTTTAATATATAATTTTTTCATATATTCTTTTGTTATAATATTACATTATATTAAATATTTATATATACTTATATAATAATATACATATTCATATTTATATTTTTTTTTTTTTTTTTATCTCATTAAAAATTTTTTTTTTTTTTTTTAATACTAATTTATCTAATATATTTTCTCTAATGCAGGCACACGTTCCAGGCCTGTTCATTTTTCATCACTATTAAGAACAGCTATAAAAAAAATCAAGCTACTTTTTAATTTTGAATAATAATTCTTAAATTACCTTGTTTTTTTTTAGGTATTTTTTTTTTTTTTTGTATTATGTTTGTCTACATTTATAAAAAAAAAAAAAAAAAATTAACAATAATGTTTCTATTTTTTTCTTTATATTTATTAATATAAAAGTAAAGAAACAATTTCAATAAAAATTAACGAATATTAAAAATAACTTTTTCATGGAAGCATTAGAAAGAAGAAGAAAGAAGAAAAAAAAAAAAAAAAATAGGAAAAAAAAAAAAAATAAGAAAAAAATATAAAAATTAAATTTCAAAAAACCTATAGGATGCGAATAAAAAAGCAAAAAAAAAAAAAAAAATAAAAATAATAAATAAATTATTATAATATGTTATCTGATTTATATATATACTATCCACTATTTATTTTTATGTTTACATAAAACATATATTAAATAGACATATTTTACTAATTAAATTCTTTTTACACACAATTCTTTTTTTTATAAAAAATATTTTCAAATATGAAGTAAATTTCTCTATTATTTAACTCTTAGTAAATATAACAAAATTATTATTCTCTTTCATTTTATATATACTCTTAAAAAACCAACATATGTTTATAACTATTTAATTTGAAGTTATGTGATAATATAATTTGTTTTTCTTCAAATTTCACAGAATATGAACATAATTACATAATCTTAAACCGAATATATAAACATCATTCAAAATATAAGAGATTTATAATAATTTAGATATATTCCTAAATATATCTATTGCTTCATAGTGAAAAAGATTTAAAATATATATATATATATGTTTTTTATTTTTAATTATTTTATATATGTTAACTATAGAAGTATTTTTATTTATTACAATAATATTTAGTTGCTTCTTCACTTGAAAAGCACCAATAAAAATTATCTAGATTAACAAGTTTAATTTTATCTCTTACAACTTCACAACAATAACATGAATGTATTCCTGAAAATTTAATCTGACCTAATGGTGAATAAGATTTATATGCTTTTTCACTTAATAAATAAGTAAATAAAACAATCCACATTATAATTAAAGAAGCGGCAGCTGTTATTCTAACAATCCATTCTCTTAATTTCATTTTACAAGGAGCTCTACCTTCTTCATTTAATCTATTTTTCATAACAGCCATAAGTAAGTGAAGAGTATCATCTTTACGAACTTTTTTGGCTAGTTGTTTTTTTCTATAATTCTCTCCTTTTATTTTTTTCTCTCTAGCTTTAGCTCGAATTAATTCTTTTGTTTCTTTAGATAAAAACCAAGAGAAAGGAGGAGATATAAGCATTCTCTCTCCTAAAGTACATTTATCTGCAGCAGAAACAGTAGTAATGGTTGCAAATCCGTATAATATACCTCCTAAACATCCTCCCATATGAGCATAATTATCTGTATATCCAAACATTCCAATAAATATACCAAAAATAATGACAGCAATCATAAATATTAAAACACAACAAGGTCTAGGAATTGTTTTCCAATATTCAATACAATATGTAAATAAAGCTCCTATTAGACCATATAAAGATCCAGAAGATCCAATTGTAACACCACAAGGGTCACAAACTGAAGACAGTAAATTTCCGGTAACTCCTGACACAAAAAATAAAATTAAGGTTCTAAGAAAACCCCAATCAGGTTCAATCATCCATAATATTTGAATTTGACATATTACATTAAAAAGTATGTGCATAAAACCACCATGTAAGTACATAGACCAAAATAATCTATATGTCTCTCCATAATTTCTTATTAAGTTTGTGTTTAATCCTCCTAGTTGACTATACACACGACTGTTTACAGAATCCCAACTAGCTATTCCTTTTGAATCAGAATCTTCCTCTACCTTATTTGTTGGCCAACCTTCATCTTCTGAACCTGTACCAATAAAATGACGATCCGAAGCAGATTCATCTAAATTATATTCGCATGCACCATATCCTAAAGGTACAAAAAAAGGTTGTCTATTTGTTTGTACATCTTCGGTATATATAGGATACAATACTTTTGATATACATCTTCCATTAAAAGTATTATAATTAAATACCATTTCAGCCAAAAAAACCCAACATAAAATAGCTGTTGTTGATATGCATACAATTAATCTTCCAGTTAAAGGATTATTATTTAACCTTGGATCTTTCACTTTTACTTTTGCATTTTTATTTTTTCTTCTATATTTTCCTAACATCGGAGAAGAAAAAGGGTTTAAAGGAGAACGCCTTCCAACAGCTCCTGGAGGTAATGTATGTATTTCTTCATCATTTGCTATTAATATTTTTATATCATTTAATTCTTTCTTTTTATTTAATGAATCTCCATTTTTTTCTACTTTGGGATTTAAAACATGGACTTTTTTTGATTTATTGTCATCATTACCAAATGGCATTTGCACCTTTTTTTTTTCTTCATTAGAAGGAGAAATATTATCCTCAGCATTTCTTGGTGATGCTAAATTAGTAGGTCTACCTTTATTGTTTTTTTCTTCATTCGTAGGAGTTACTTCTGTTTTGTTTCCCATGTGTTATTCAAAAAATGCATATATATATATATATATATATATATATATATATATATATATATATATATATATTTATATATATATATGTAAAAATAATATACACATATGAATATGCAAATGAATCATAAAAAAGATAAAAAGTATTATCAAATTAGAGATAAAAAAGATGATATTGTATATTAATTAGACCAAATATTAATTATAATAAAATTTGTAAAAGTAATGTTAATAACTATTCTAATATAAAATAACAAAAAAATAAGGACAACAAGAAAAGAAAAGAAAAAAAAAAAAAAAAAAAAAAA